GCTGTCCTTTTTCTGGGTTTCGAGGGCTCTAGCGTGCATTTCGGGCACAGGTGTTAGTGTTCGGTTGTTAGTGTTTGGTTTGGTTCCATTTTCTCTTTAGTTCAGCAGTGTTTGGGTATGTACGTCTCTCGTTGGTCTTGTTTAGTTGTTGCCTATTAGTTTTGGGTTGTAGGAGCCTCCTGTTTGGCTTAGTCCCCTGAGTTTGCTTTGGTCTGTTTCTTTTGTTTTTTCCTTTTGTCCTTGGTTCCTCGCACCTCTCGTGCAGCTGTTTGCTACTCTTCTATTTTTCTTTAATATTATCATTTTCACCATTATAAAAAAAATTGGTGGAAGAAATGCAGTAAACCTTTGTTCTTTGGCTCCAAAATTCCATCAAAAATTATTTTCCACTATCTCTCAGAATCAATGTCTACTCTATAAACAACATAGCAAGCCTAGGGAATTACCCAGATGAAGAAGACGTGATAGGATTTAATATCTGCTTGTTGTCATGCATGATCAATATTTCCAACCCAGTTATGATCGATCAGGACAACTACCCATCATGAACCTGCAACATTACCAAGGTAAGGGAAAATAGAAGTAAACATGGCAATCAGTTCAATTGCTTCAATTCTTCATTTCTCTTGTTATGTTATTCTTCTGAGTCAGGCATATTAATTTGATGATGAAGGTGAAATGCTTCCGCCACCAACGAGCATCAGAATCACTTGCAAGAATTTTGGACTAATGGGTACAACAGGTATTAACGGGTAACCCGCGGATATCCAAAGTAGCGATGTTTGATCCCAAGTCGCATCCCGTACAAAAAATTACGGGTATTTGGGTACCCGTAACCCTCAAAAAATGGGACGGGTACGGGTATACCCAATTACCCCTTTCCCGTTGCCCACCCCTACAAATTAGAGATATAAGTGGGGAGTAAAAACCCAAAGCAATAGACTAAAATTCTTTTTATTTCGAGCTTAATTGTGAACAAGGTCAAGTAGGGGTGGACAACGGGACGAGATTGGGTACCCATCCCGTTTAAAACGGGTACCCATTCCCATTTGGAGAATAATCTCCATCCCATATCCCAAATTCGTATGGGTTAACGAGTACCCATTACCCGTACGGGGCGGATAACGAGTACCCGTGGGTACCCGTTAAAGGAGCCGTGTCATTTGCCAACATTGAGTTGAGGTTTACAGACACATGGGATGGTGTCGTAAAGCGGTTTCGTGAGGGGGGAGTTGAGGTACTTCGTGAAGGATGATCACTTCTCTCGGTTCTGCACTTCGACTATTCCAACATGTCCGGCCTCTCCATTCTCACTACCGAGTTTAGCTTCAAAGACTTTGACGTCATCGAGGAAAGATTCGTCCAAGTTTACTACCGATCGCACTAGAATCTGATTTAGTTAGCTACTTCTTTTCTCGGAAACAAAACCCTGAACCGTAACCTGTTGATGCAAGCAATGATGTGTGTGGAATTGTGGATATTGTTAATTGTTGTCAACCAATTACGTACCTAACCTTAAATTTTTGTTTGGAGCTACAAGTTTTTTCTCTTAATTGGTTTGTTTCTGCACAAAGAGAACAATTGTTGGTTTGCTTCCTTTAATGTTTAATTTTTATGTTGCGTTGTGGCTCTCCATATCTTGTGTTTCTTGTGGTTACCTGTAATACCCAAACGGGTATTAACGGATAACCCGCGGGTACTTATGGTAGAACATGTTGATTCATGTCCCATCCCGTAAAAAATATTACAGGTATTTGACTACCTGTAACCCTCAAAAAATGGGACGAATATGGATATATCCAAATACCCGTTTCTCGTTGCCCACCCCTAAGGTCAAGGGCTCCAAATCAGCAAGTGGACTTTTCCGCAGCTGATGGTTTGTTTAAACATTGCCTAGCAAACTATTGGAATTAGAAGTAGAAGAAGCACATTTGTGCTCGTGGTCAAAGTGACTAAATCCCAAGGAAAGAAGATGGGAGGATCAGGGTATGTTATTAACATTTGCAGTGGTCCTAGTATAATACCTAATCGAAACTACAACTCGTCCGTATAGCATCCGATATGATAAGCTCCCGGGATCTCGAAAACTTGGTCCTTGGTTGATGAAGTGGTTTCAGCTGGCGACTCTCTAACAGGGTAGAATTGTCGGAAAGAACGACGGACTGGAGGTAGTATTGTCGATGTTTTTCGATCCATTGATAATAGCTTCCCACATTTACTGCATGCACCAAGTTAAGATTTCCATAATCCACATCATTTTTTTACAAAAGCTGATGATCATAAGAGGAGGAGATACGCACCCGCAAACTTTGGAAAATAATGTCTGGTAGCTGCATATCCAGTTCTTCAGAAACAAAAGAAACAAGCAGGCCGGAAACAAATGCCAATAGAAATTAGAACGTCGACTATGAACAAGGAAGAACCAAAGTTGAGTTCGGATATCTATGATAGTACCAGAAGAAAGTATAAGGCAGTTTCGCTCCTGACTCCAAGAAAATGCTGCAGAGCTATACGGGCATGCTCCTGCATAAGGCGAGAACACATTTGGGGTCTCAACTTGGGAAGATACATATGTCTCAGAAAATTGGCTTATGTAATTTTTCAAACATGTCTGAATAGAAGCTGTTACTGTGATGTGTCTAAAGACATGATATATGGAAGAACCTCTGGCATGCATGTAGCTGCCTCCCTGTCAAAAGGCAAATGAATCCCCAACAACGTGCAGTTAGAAAAGTGCAAGCTGATAAAGGAAGAAGCAAGAGCCTCAAGGAATAATCAGGTAGCACAATCGAAGCTTGACAATATAATTCCACAAACCTATCTGGGCTTCCAAACTACTACGTATCACCCTCACATCCCTATGCTTTTCTAGTAAACAAATAGTATCACCCTCACATCCCTATGCTTTTCTAGTAAACAAATAGTACGAGACGATGCAAGGTGCAGAATGTCTGCTAAACGGGGGCCCATAACTTAACCCGACAACTAGAACAAACGAGTGATTCAACTGGTTAACAGGACTTACCTCATCCGGGGAAAAGAATGCAACTGCATCTGGATTAATGGAACCGGCAGGATGCAACGATAGTACAGCTCTCAAGTTACAAGGAAACGATATTTCAATAACAGAAGTCCTTCCAGAGGCACCTGCACTCTGTGGTCCTGCTCGCATTTTATTTAAACTGTGAAAACTATGCTCTTTAGATGATTCAATTAACTTATCATTTCCTGAACTCGGTAAAGAAGAAGCTCGTTTCAACCAATCGCGGCGTTCGTACATAAGAACTTTGACGTTGGGGACTTCCTTTTCCACACGAGCTAGAACATCAGCGAGAGATTTGAAGTCTCCAAGTTCGTCTAGCTGACTCGTTAACGGTGCCTGAGGCCTGCAAGGTTTCTTAGAATCTGGCTCTCTACTTTGATCTTCCGATTCATCATCAAGGTGTGGAAAAAATCTCCTTTTCTGATCCGAGAATGCCTTCAGAGCTAACCTGAAAATGCACATTTACCACTTAAATTAAACCCTACACACAGACAATACTGGTGATGATGCCATGATTGATTTAGCCAGTCAGACACCAAATTTAAGAGTCATCTTTTCCACAACCCTAATCCGAGACCTTCATCATATCAAGCAGCAATATTGCACTGGAAGATCCAGCCCAAATTTGAAGCAGCAATTGCCATCAAAGTCAGTAATTCCAATACAAACCTGGTTCTGTCCACGGCAGATGCACCAGCCTGCCCAGCTAGTTGACGTTTCCACGCATAAGCAACAACTGCGCCATCTGGGCACACTAATGGTATATGCAAACCCCAAGAGTTGCCCCTAGATTTCATGGAATCGTTGAGAACCCCAGTTTCCTCTAGCTGCCTTCCTACCAAAATCAAGCAAGAAAATATGAACTTTACCCTGCCTACAATTTCTGCAGGAGCGAATGGAAAAGACAGACGATACACATACCAACAGTGCGCAGGTCCTGGAGGTGCTGGCGCATGCTAGCATCTTCCTTGAGCAAAAACTGCAAGGTCTTGTCGCTCTGGTGAGACTGGGCGGCGAAGAACAACGCCTCCAGGAGCCGGTCAGCGCCGATCCTCACATCAGCAATTAGTCGCGCAGCCTGGGCTAGCCTGTCCACGGCCATCGCCACCTGCTTCGGCGGCGCCTCCGCCGGCTGATCGGCGCTTGTACTTGGCGTTGCTGCGGCTTGAGGCTCCGATTGCTGTAGCTGCGGAAGCTGCTGCTGGAATTGCATTGGGAAATTGGGTTTCACATCCATGGCGAAATTACCCTGGAAGGCAATGTGCACAACCACCACCAAGAAATCAAGGTCAGTTTTTAGGCCGAGGTAAGCAAGCTACGGAAGTCGTGGTTTCCGTCACCGCTTAAACGAACCGATCGAAAGCACTCGATTGAATCTCCGGACATGAATTGATAGTGAAACCCGCTGGATTGGTTTGGGTATTAGATAATTAGAAGGACTGATCTGTAAGTTAATAAAAGTACAAGGACCAAGTCATATATTTTTTAAAAGAAGAAGAGTTGGCTAGCAAACCCTACTTCGTAAGTCACCTGAAATTCTCAAACGGGGAGCGGAAAAGAAAGGGGAACTGGGGAAGCCCGACCGCCGGCTGCAAAACACACGTCGACAGCCGACCGGGCGTTGAATTGGTTCTCTTTTTATCTGAAGGGAGGTTCCGTCTTCTATACAAAGCTCTCGTCGACGGCGGCCGTAAAACAGGTCTTACTTCTCTCCCCGTGGAACCCTTCTCGCTTTCAGTTTCACTCGGTGAAAGAACTGAAGTTTTTTTCTTTTATTGAGTCTTGTCGTCCTCCTTTCGTTGGCGTAACAAGCAAAAGAGCTACTCGTTCAGCGTCTCTCACTCCTGCAGTCCTCTGTTTCTTTTTTCTTGTGAAATGGCTCTCTGGGTCTCTTTGTAGTTTGCAGTCCAGAGGCCAAAGCGTGTGTTTTAACTTTTTGTTTTTCCTTACAGGTACAATGCCAAAAAATAGAGCAGCTTCTACTAATAAGAAGCAGCAAAAGCGCGGTGTCGACTTCAAGGTTTGAGATTTCTGATCATCCAGACATTGATGCATTGGCATAGTGCCTAAACTGTTGAATTGGTGTGTTTTAAGCTGGGATTTCTGTTGTTTCTCCGCGCAGAAAATTAAAAGGAAGATAGGGAGGAGGTTGCCTCCACCTAAGAATACCACCAACACTGAAGTTAAATCGAAAGGTTGAATATTAGCATCATGAACTGCATTGCTGTTTATGTTGAAATGTTCCACTTTGTTATGTGCTGATACTGATCATTTTTGTTGTTGTTGAATGATACTGATCATTTGATGGTCACTATTAGCAATTGTTCTTCCTGAGCAGAGCGTGGCATCTGATAAAGTGGGTTTGGCTGTCAGCAAGAAAGGTTTGACCTTGAAAGAGCTCCTTCAACAAACATCCCATCACAATGCCAGAGTTCGTAAAGGTTTGTATGTTTCGGTCTAGTGTAAAATGAAAGCTTCCATCTGAGGGTCAAAGGATTTTGGGAAAATATTTAGGTTATTGCTTAATATCATATTTCTCATTCCTGTAATTATCAAAATTGCTTCACTTGCTCGTCATCAGCATTGGCTAGCAAAACCTGCAAATTCCATGCTACACCACTCCCTCATTAGACGTGCCATTCCTGTGGTTCTTATCTTGCTTCTTTCTTGTTCTTTTTCCTATCCAGAAAATAGGTAGTTGGTATGGTGATTATGTTTAATATTTCTGTGTGGCTTATTGACTTTTTCATTGCTGGCATATCGAGTTTCATGCAAAGTCAAGTATGGTGTTATTGACTTTAATACTTCGTGTAGATGCATTAATGGGAATGAGAGATTTGTTCCTTAAGTACCCGGAGGAACTGAGGTCACACAGATATGCTGTGATAGAAAAGTTGCGTGAACGCATCAGTGATGATGATAAAATGGTCCGAGAAAACCTCTATCTTCTACTCAAGTCAGTTGTATTGCCTGCTTGCAAGGAGGTAATTGGTGCTTTGCCTCATTCTTGCGTGAAATCCTTAAATTTATGACAAGCAATGGAAAATATTGCATAAAGTTCAGTGTATGTGTAACTGTGTTGTTTTCTCACTGAGAGCACAGGGACAAGTAATGAGTGCGCCTTTTATTATTTAGATCATCACTTAAACAATAAAAGGTTCATAGTTAGAAACGCTTGAAGTTCTCTGGTATCTTACTAGAGTATTCTGTGCAAGTATTTGTCTTGAGATGGCTGATTTGATTCTCTCTTTCCTTATCCAGGATAATCAGGGACCCATCATATCTATGATGATGGTTTACATTTTCAATGCAATGACACATTTGGCGATTGATGTCCGACTGATGTCTTTCAAGTTCTTAGATCTCATTGTGCAGTATTATCCAGCCTCTTTTTATATGCATGCTGAAAAGGTAAAGTATGTTCATGAATTCAGCCATTTGTGGTCTCCTTTTTGGGAATATTGTTGGAGTTTGAGTTTCCTCTTATTTGTGGATGTCAAGCTTCCATGTGCTTGCCGAAGGCTGGTCAAGGTTTTTGATCTAGTTGGTTCAATCTCTGATTTATCGGTGTGCTAGATGACTTTCAAATAACAAGCGATGTCAGGTTCTTAACAAATCTAACAGATGCATGGTAACGAACTTTATATCAATAGTATGGTCAGACTTTTTTTCTGTGTATCTGTTCATTTGTTACTTTTTAGAACTCGTGTTGAGTTTGCTTGGTTTTCATAGATGTAAACGTAGTTCTAGGCTGTTTTACAGAAATACATGTTTTTGTTGTGGAGGTAAGCAGCTAGTTTATCAGTCACCATTTTTTCGTATGAATTATGTGACTGTTTCATTTCTTACAGCTTCTACAAAACATTTTTTTGTCAGATCCTACAAAACTATGAATATATTCTGAAGAGCAACCAGTTCTATGTGCAAGACAAAGGCAAGCTCAGGAATGTTCTTGCTGGGTTAGTATGCTGCTTGTCACTGTTGCCATCTGATAAAAAAGAAGTTGATACATCTGAACAGGTGCCCCCTATGAGTCATTGCAAATCTACTTATAGTTGTTTTCTTGATAATCGTATAGGTTGTCTCTATAACATACCCCCCAAATTTTATCTCGTTGTACCTTCCAATTAGTCGTCCATTTATAGACTTTTTCTTGTTTTCATTGCCTAGTATAGCATGGAAGGTATTGATTGAGTTAGGATCACGCAACTCTCAAGTTGATTCTGATTGAAGTGCTTATTATTTAAGATACAGTTTCTGTTCTTGTTATTTGGTGCTGTTTTACGATGCGCATCCAAAACATTAGCATATCTACAACTAAATTCTATATCTAAGATGCAGTTCTATCCTTCAGCTTGTTAACTGCCATGAGCATTGATGACGTCCCTGAACAAATAGTAAATTAACGTTGGGTTGTCATAGCTGCAAGGGTGGTTGAGGACATCCAATCCACACTCAGTTCAAACCGTAGATCAGTATTCAAGTGTTAAAGATGAAAAAAAGGAGTGAAAAAATGACGTTGTACTCTTTATGCATTTGATGTTATTGTTTGCTGTTGCTATGCTCATTTGTAATGTGTTGGCCTTTTAAGTTAATTCTGCTTTTATTATTGATTCTGATGGTTTCCCTCCAATCCTATAGGATGCTCTTCGCGAAGAAGTACTCCATGCTTTTGAACCAGATAAACCTACTGAATCTGTTGGTAAGTGTTGATGTTAACTATCTCTACTTGTGGTAGGTTTCTTTTCAGAATAGCGAGGGAGAGGATGATGACACGATTATTGTATTTCTGGTCGTTATGTAATGCGATGACAATCTAATTGACGATACTGCTACTAAAGTTTTGGAAGAGCTACCATTTTCCTTTTGGGGCATGGAATATGTTAATAGAGAAGTTCTAAACAACACCTGGCCATCCATGCCCATGTTATTTCATGAGTATATAAGTACTAATCTAGCTTCCTGTTTGTTTTATCAGAGTTCTCTATCATCAACAAAATGCTAAAGGAACTTTTACCAGTATTGCTCAATTGCTTTCAAGACTTTACTCCATCAATTCAAGGCACATCCCAGCTAGATGCACAATCATTTGACTGCATGCATAGCATCCTTCAGAGCATAGGTCTTGCTGTCAGGTTCTTTATTTATGGGATTCGCAAGGATAAACTGGAATCACAGCGCTTTGATGGAAGGCATGAAATGTCTGTGTGGGATAATAGTATCTCGTCAATACTATTGAAGCAGTTACTACGTTTGTTTCCACTCAAATCAATACGCGACCTCTCAGAGAAGGTATCGACTAATCATTATCATGCTCTGTCTTGCAGTCTGTCTGATTGTGCAAATTAAAAAATTATAAGGATAACAAGGTCCAGAAGGTGTCAATAGCAATGAATAAATTTGAATATCATGACTATCATTTACTGCTGTGTTTAATCATTTTAAAGATGGTTTGTCTTACCTTTCTTAACCAGGCCTTTTCCTTTTATGAGGAGTCGACTGTTCTGAGAATGTTTATAGTAGTTTCTTGTTTGATGATTTTGATGATCTATTCCTTCATTAATTTTGCTGTAGGATGGTGATAGGTATTTCGTCTTGAACACTTTGATTACAGAGATATACCTCTGCACAAGCGAGTGGATGACGCCTTCTGCTGACTTATCCTTCAAGTATCTTGCATTTGTGGAATATGTCCTGAAGGTTAGATCATAGATTCATATCCTGTAATTACCCCCCCTCTCCCCTGATAAAGCAACACACATCTTGATATTTGAGATCTCACTCGGTACTTTTTCCTTTCCAATAATACTGAAATGTGTTGCTATAAGATTTATTAATAAGGCTAGCCATGATGTCTGTTCGGGAGAGAAAGAACTCCTACAGGTTCAAGTCAGCTGTTTTTTTAACTCTTGCTGCTCTGTAGAATTGTTATGGTGCCTCAGTCCTGCCCGGTGCATGGAATATCATTCATTTGCATATATATGACTTTTTGGGGGAAGGGTTTCTGCAACATGCTGCAGTTCCATACATTACTTGCTGTGCAACTTGCATAGTTATTGTCGTTTTTTCCTGAATAGGGTAGAAAGAAATTGGCCCCTAAGATGTGCACTATTTCCTTGTTTTGTTGTTGTTGTTGTGGGTTTGTAATTTCTAAATTCACAAAACTGACTACTAATTTATAACTTGCTATCTCCCAAGCTGCCAATGTGAGTGGCTGTTGCTCGACCACTTACCTCAGGGGCCAATTGGTCACTCTATTCATGCATCATTTCTGCTATTTGCTTTTACATGTTTTTCCTGACTATACTGTAGTATAGTGCATTGAGGTGGATCTTAAGGGATAATGCTCATCCTATGAATGCTCTGCAGATCAGTGATGCCGAGTCTGGCAAAAGTGTTGGGGAAAAACATCTTCTTCTGCTTATTCCTTTTCTTCCGAAGCTTATATCAGCAGTGGCAGAGGACTGGAAGGATCGCTTTCTTCAGGTTGGACTTGTTGTTTTAGTAATTGGAGAGATGAAGTTCTCTGTGGTCAAATATAGTTGCATGATATTGTGTTAGAAACCCAGTGATCTAGAGCGTTCTCTGGTTGGTTGTGTAATTCGGAATTAGATTTATAACTGGGATTGAAGAATAGAATTGAGATTGTGAATGAATACCCAAAGTACATATTTATAGAAAAGACGTGAAAAACCTATTACTATTCGAATACTATTAATCTTAATAAATATCTTAATAACAAACCTAATAATGAAAATGAGACCGGGTATGAAGACCGGGTTTCTATCATATTGTTTGTCTACTCTCACATCTGCGACAAGTGGGCTTTAGCTTGGTGTTAAGAACCCCCACCTTTGATCCTTGAAGTCGATGGTTTGAGAGCATGGATTTGTTTAGGGGAGAGATACCTCTTGTGTTGCTCTTGCTCATCTGTAGATTTCTATTGTCCTGTTTTTTTTTTTTTTTGGCAGCTGTTTGTTCTATTTTCAGCACTATATTTTGACACTTTGGAAAAATGAATATTTTGTTGCAGGCATTTACAAATACATTCCTGGAGTGCAGTGCAGATTCTAAAATAAAATTGGCCTGCCTTGCAGTTATTGAAGAAATGCTATTATCTGTGTGTAAGCTGAACCCCCAGACATGTTTTGGAAGCTTGCTTTGATTTATATATTTCTGGTGACTGATTGATTTTCTCTATCTTTGTTACTCCCTTTCTCTGTCTGTTTCTCTGGGATTCTTAGAAAGAAGATCAGTGGTACTTCAATAGTGGTTCAGGGAGTTTGGACTGTCAGATTAGTTGGATGAGAGAGCTTCCTCAATTGTTAATTCAGCTGGGCGATAAGCACCCTACATCTTCCCAGGTAGTCGATTTTTAGTTGCATTCTCTTTTTTCACTCCTCTTCATGTCCTATTCACTTACAGCTACCATATTCAGAACAGTGGTTGCTAAACTTGCTCGTTTTGAACTTTGTTCAGGCTGTGTTGCGTCTTATACTTCGGTTGGGTCAGTATTCATCGGTGAATGCTTTTCTTGCCTCGGAGTACGATCGTATGCAGAACTCGCTGAAAAAGTTCTACAGCATACACTCAGAAGAAGGTAATATACATATTTACTGGAAGTGTTATACAGCAGGATGGAAAAGCTAAGTTGTGAAGATACTAATCTTATGTGCTGTGCTTGCCCAGGAAACACCTGTCTTGGACCTTTTGTAAGGCTGCCAAGAGATTGTCAAGAACTCTCTGTTTGTTGTTTGTATTATTTCTCACACTTGGAGTTGGATCTGCTCAGGTCCTTAGCTTCATGTTGCCTATGTAAGTGCTTGTGTTGGAGCCTTCTTTTAGTTTTACCTGCCACTGTTTCTCCGGTTTGGGTAATTTATCCATTCTGTGCCTAGCTGGAAAGTGCAAGACACTTGACTAATGGTAGCTTCTCTCACACACACATGTGCAGGCCATGAGTTGGATGAATTCATGCTACGTCGTGTTATCGAGGTTTTGCATTCTTCTTATTGTGCTGGGCATATTCAAATAAGTGACCATGTTAGCTTCCTCATGACTTTGATATGCCGTTTTAAACCATCTCCCGGTAAATTTGGCGTACCTCTCTCCTTTGCTAACATAATTTTGTCGATATTATTATTTATGAGAAATATACTTAAGACGATGTTCTTTAACAGCAGAAAGTATTAGTTATCCCACAAAGGAGACTGATGCAAGTATATGTAATCATGGAACTTTTAAGTCCATGACCAGTGATATATCAGCATGCCTGTCACGGATAGGGGACAAGTCTCTTGTGTTCCTTATTGTGGAAAGGGTGATATTGGAGCAAATGGTAACTGAGAAAATAAACCCAAACCTTTTTTCCAGTTTCGTTTGGTATATGATCGTGACTGCCATGGTCAACTGACTTACAGTGATGTTACATTTAAACTTTTCAGACATTGAAGCCATCTCTACACAATGCATGTGCTATGCTTAGAGTGCTTGTCGTGCTGGATGCCAAACCTACAAAACTTTCCGAACAAAGTATCCTGTGCATCGGTGATTATCTGGCAGGATATCTGATTGATGTTGTGCATGTATGAAATTTCTCCCCTCTTCACATTTTCCCTCGACTTTCTTTGCAGAAGACTTGCTTTCTTAATTTCTTTTTGATCCATTAAAATCTGATGGGTCGGCCAAATGGTATTGGGTGGATATGAAAACATCCAACTGTCCGGGGCTCAAAGCATCACTTTCTAGAAACAAAATATTAAATTTCTGTTGCACCGTTAAATATGATCGCCAGTCCTTTAGACCAGTTTAGTTGGATCGTTAGTTATTTTGTTTTTAGTAAGAATCTTGACATGGGATAACCTCACATACTCTTCCTTAAGTTTCAATTAGTCAACAAGTATTATCTTAAATCTAGGAAGATCTTGGTAAAGGAATCTGAAGAGAAACCTAAGACGACAATAGTTGCTCTTAATTTAAATGGAAATGTTTGATCTTTTCAATTCAAGGGTGCAGAAGAACTATTTTACTTGTTGTGTCAAGCCTCCTTGGCCATGATGGATGTAGTCTTGCTATAAACACTATCGTTCTGTACAGGTTTTGCTTTCTTAGTACAGGACCTTCATCCTATATTCTTTCATGATTTTTCATATAACCAAACAAAGGACTCCTTTTCCAGGGCTTAGTCTCCTCAAGAATTCTCAGTCCTGTTTCTGATTCCCTTTTCTAATGACACATATTTCAACTTCTTTTTGCAGAACATTTTGGAAGATAACGATGCCGCTGGATTTGTTGAAGCATCCAGTTATTATTTTGTGCCATGTTTTTTCCTGTTTGATAGCAGTCACAGGCTTTTCGAGCTAGTACTGAAGACTATGGCATCACTGATACATGAACTCAGCACATCTGTGTTGTCCAGTGAAGATGATAGTGCTCTAAGGCTCTCGAGTGGGATAGAGAGCATTGTTGGTGTTCTCCTCCTAATGCACAGAGATGCTAAGATTGGCAGACTTATTTGTTCATACAAGGATGATATCGCCCTTATTTCTCAAAGTATACAGTCTCTATTGGTAATTTCCTCTCTTTTTTGACAAATATTCTGGTTGAAGTGTTTCCTTACTTGCAACCATAAATTGTTCCGATAGTTCATCAAGGAATTACATGCATTGATTATATTATACATGGTTTTATTGTTTTTTTTTATTTTTTCCAGGAACCAGGGGCGGACTTCAATTTGACTATTGAAGGAAAGCACAGAGTGCAGAGAGCCTTTGGTCAACTTCAGACCATTACACGACCGCTGTTTCAGGAGACACAAACAACATAGGACGCTGCATATTCATTGCTGGTTAGTGGGTATCTAGTCTTCGTGATAATGTTATTATGTTTGAGGCCGTTCTTAGTTCTCACACTCTCTTGCACTTAGATGCATTTATGATTCATAAGATTGAACTTTCTGTTACTTCCCCTTGACTATCTATGAATTGCAGTTAGACAAAAGTTGATCTCCCTAGATCAGCTTCGACGAAGATTCTGACATGGAAAACATGGCTTCTGGCTGATTTCATGGATCATGCTGTTTTGGTGAGCTAAAGACGATGGTTATGAATGTAACGATGGGGCTTAATGGTCGGCTCGCATTTTACTTTCCGTGAGCCATTTGATCGGTTGGCCTTTTCACCATTTGAGGCAAATGGACCTGTCACAGAAAATTGGCTCAATGGTTGGGGATTTCTATTTTGTAATAGTTAGAAGCTACTAAATATAGCTGTATTTGAGCCACGCAATTTTGGTCATTAGTTTTATTAATTTGTGCTACTAAATTTTATTATTGCACTAATAATCACGCATTTTAAATTTCCAGAGCACTAATGATTATCCTTCATCCAATTTTGTTAAAAAAAATCCGTGTAACAGCCAAGAGTGGTGCGAATATGACAATACATAAAGTTCAGGTAGAAAAAAGGAAAGTTTTTTGGTGGTGAACTTATTCCTATGTTCATTATTATAGCATAATAATAAATTAATTTTGAAGCTGAAAAATTATACAAAAATCAACGCTTTTTTTTTTCCATGGTTTAAGAAGGATCTAATACCGCATATGCCTAGGAGCTAGGCAGACAATTAGGCGTTCAAACGTCTAGGCAGAGTTAGACGTGATTAGTATTCTCCATGGTCGGGATTTATTGGTGGATGGATCATGGATTGCGATGATAGAAAGGTGAAGGGTGGCAAGTGGCAGGTTGGGATAGCAGAGGATAAGTGGATATCGAGCATTTCTCTGACCTTGGAAGTGGTGTTATCGAATTCTACATTGTCTCACAGCTTACGCTTCCTCGAATTCCCTTTCTTAATCGGTAAGCCAATCCCTTCTTTTTTGGCTTGCTTTTAGCTAATAAGTCATGTGTCGGGTAGGTGCAATCGGTCTGTCCCTTACCTGTTCATTGTCGATCCAGATTGGATAAACAGTGTATGGGTTGATACTTGATAGAGCGAGGATCAGAGTGGTAGTGTGACGTATGTCTAGAACAGTGCTTCCCGGGGTAGGTAGTTAAAATAAATTCAAAGTATTGCTTTACCAAGAAGGTAGGTAGGGGAACGAGTCATTGGGGATCGGAGATGGAACAGACAGGGAGGTATATGGTTAAAACCGGATATCTTTTAGCACTACAATTGAGTCGACGTCAACCAATGTGGAAGGAGGAAGTGTCGTTCTTCGATATGACCTTTTGGAAGAAGATATGGGGATTCCATGTCGCTCCCAAGCTCAAGTTTTTTGTCTGACAGGTAATGCGGCGTATACTTCCTACGACATATACGATAATTGAAAAGGGGGGAAACTGTCAGCCGAGATGATCGATTTGTTGGGCACCCTTAGAAACTATGGAACATATGTTTCTATATTGTAGGATGGCAGCCGGTTTGTGGGCTAGGGCGGGTTTGGAAATGGGAGCATATGAGGAAGCTCAAGTAAATTTTGCACTATTTTTTCCGGAGATATATAGAGCACGATGAGAGTCCGGAGCGAGTATTTTGCTTTGTGGCACTGCTGTGGAGAATATGGAAATCTAGAAATTGGGTGATCTTTGATCACATGCAGTATATCATAGAAGTATTATTTCAATAGTATAACGCCCAGGTCAACGAATGGCTGGTGTTGCCCATGCATGCAATTCCTCAAGCTGGCGGAGATGTAGCTCGTGTAGAGGATAATGATGGAGAAGGTGCCCTTTTGCAATGTTATGTAGATGGGGCGGTAAGACAGGGATCACATGCAGCGGGAGGTGATAGTGCAAAATATGATAGGTAGTATTTTTATGCTAATGGTTTTTCTTATGCAGGGTTACGAGATCGGAATTGGTTGCGTTATGAGATGCAATCCAATGGTGCTCTTTGATGGGTATGGGAGGTTATTTTTTATGGCGATGCGAAGGGAGTTCTTCGCTAGCGGTATAGTGTGAAGGGAAGTTCGTTGATAGAAGAAACAATTGGGTGACTCATTTGGTGGTTATGAATGCCCTTTCTTTACTATCTGCAAGTGTTGATACTTTTAATTTTTTATTTTGGTTGTAAACTTTTGTTATCTTTCGTCTCGGTAATATTGGTGAGCGACTAATTAACTTGTACTTGCTCATAGGGGTGGAAATTGGGGTGGGTGTAGTTACCCGCCTCACATTTGTGGTTAACCACACCCACAAATATAGAATTACGCTACCCACAACCCTCCCGCAATGGATAATGGTTAACCACTATCATCTGCTGGTTGGTGCGGGTTGGTTGTTGATAGCCACAAAAACCATGGTAAAGGAAACCGTACCGGACATCATACCGGATTCCTTTCTGGTATGGTATTTTGTGGTACGACCGTGGTTCAACCGTTTTGTACCGGTAAATATCGTTTTTCACTATTGATAGAGAAATGAAATGCGATAGTATAAAAAATATAATCCATCAAAAAAAGAACCAAATAGAGCATTATACAACCACGGTGACCCATTTTCAACATAGAAAAATAGCAAAATAATATTCTTTTTTAATTATTTTTCACATATTGGACGAGAATACGGAGAAATGAAGCTGAATCATAGACCAGGTAACCGGATCGTACCGGCCGGTTCAACCGGTCAAACCGAAAAAACCGGCCGGCATGGTAAAATCAGCACAATCAGGCCACCGTACCGCTTTTGGTCCAATTTCCGGTTGAACCGGTTGAACCGACCGGTACGATCCGGTTTCCTGGTCTATGACAAAAACTTCATAATTTAATATAGTAATATGATAATTAAATAATGATGTTGTGTTTCTTTTCACATAAAAATAAAAAAAATACATAAAAAAGTTAATGAAGAGTTAAATAAATTATAAATCTCATACAATAGGTTAGTTAGTAGAAATTGAAAAAAGATGGATTTGTAAAGAGATTTGAAGATAACAGAGAGGCTGAGTGACCTATTACCAGACAAACATCATTGCATGTGGCACCTCCGACGACGACAACAATGGCAAAACACCAAAGTGGCTCGACAAGTAAAAGCGCCCTCTTTTTATGGATCGATTATTCCTCACTCTCGATTATAGTCTTGTACTACTAGGAGTTGGTTGTTGCGTTGTTCGTGAGTTTGTGGAGAACTGGAAATGAGTTTGGGTATCGGACTAACTTTTATCAATTGTTCCCCTATTTTAACGAATCGATTAATTTATCTGACTACATATATTTACTTCGTTTTGTAATAATAAACATATACCAACGAACAATGTTTATTTAATAAAAGTATCTCACACAAGCATTGCATATTGACTTGGTTTTGTTTTATAAAATAAGAGCGTATTTTACTTTGGTGGTTACTTTAATTTTTAGCCTTCCACATTTCACAAACTAATATTACAAAGTATTTTGAATAAACTAACCAGTGTGGTTATTGTGAGTTTTGTGGATTGATCGTTGTGGATAGTGGTTAACCACTAACCACAAAAATCAATATTTTATTGCCCACACCCAATCTACTATACACAAATTGTGAATATAAATATCTATAAAGTGTGCGGATTGGTGCGATTTGCGGGCCTAGCATGGAGAGCACGAGATATATGTTGACCTGACCGGGACACCATTTATTAATCTATAAAAATAGTAAAAAGGTTTAAGATTTAGACCACTACCACATCAGCCTTAAACTAAAATCATGCTCCCACGTCAGCATACTAAAAAAACAAACTATTTCCTTTTTCTTCTTCTTTCAAATCCCCCAAGAGTTGCAACGTTTGGGGGGCCGGCTACCGTGACAACCCCTAAGGGGGTTGTCAATCTCGCTTCCCTCCTCAATGCCGTCCGTTCTTCTTCTTCATCTAGGGGACATGATTACAAGAAGGGCTTTTTAGTAAGCACAATATTCTAATAATTTAACCAGAAAATTAATTGAGTGGAGAGAATCCGGGAACGTGATTGAGGGGACGAGATTTGGGGAGCGGAACAGACATGACTCTTTCCCTTCCATTTCTGACTTCTACCTCATCAAACCAAACCCCTCATCTAGCTATGGAAGATACCATCCACGCAACGGCCACCACCACCATGGATGACTACATTAGCAACGACGATGCCGGTGAATGGGGAGGAGTCTAATCTATGTGTATATTTGGGTTCGACCTGAACGTCCCACTGACAATCAACGACGAGGATATATAGTACTGCAACGTTAAGCAGACGGATTCGGCGTTGAATGGCGCCGATGTGTGCATGGTGGACCTTGGCGACGTTCTGGACTGGAGAAGGCATTGAACGAAGATCATCCTGAATGGTACGAAAACACAGAAAACGTCCAATGTGGACTCGACGTGGAGAACAACGACGAGTTCGTGCCGCATTCCGGCAATCGCGTTGATGTTAACGACGGTGTGGACGGCAACAATGGCGGTAGGGTTTACTGGTGTTGTTACAACTTCTTTTGCATTTGTACCATTTTACTATTGGTACAAATATTGTTGTGTGAAGGATGGTACCAGTACCACTGATTTGGTGCCTGTAATGCTAGAATGGCACCAGTAACACTGTATTGGTACCAGGACTTCTAGATGGGCACCAGTACCACTGTTTTAGTACCAGTACCAAAAAATGACACTAGTACCACTAATTTGGTACCAGTATGATTCGTACCGGTACCACTCCAGAGCATTGCACCTGTACTGCCACCACTCGGACTCACCTCCAAAGTAGAAAACAAATGGTTCGGGGAAGTATGACCTTTTCTTCTTAACTGCTCCAACAACTCTTGACGAAAAGCCTCTTCCATGAGCAAAACGTGATGGTTCATTTGTGCTAAAGTAAGGTACTTAATTCTAGTAATAACAACGTGCTAGTTTATGTGTCGAAATTTGTAGTTAAAATAACTAGTAATAAGGTACTTAATTCTCACAATCCAACAAAAAAACCATTTTGCCAATGTAAGGAACAATACTTTGTCCAAGATCAAATTAAAGCAAACAAACACCACAACAAACACCACAACAAACTTGTTCATAGTTACAAACGTACATGAACTAATCTTCCTACTACTGCTGTGACACCTGGGTATATCCACGTAGTAGTGCCTCTTGCATATCAGTAGCTTTACCAGTCATTTCCTCGGGTCTTCAATGGCTTTCTGGACCATTTGAGCATACCTAATGCAAGCTGCAAGCTGTCTACGGTCCTATCAAGGAACCACACCAACAGGACATACAGATTGCCATTGGTTGGTATAGCTCCTGTTCCGGTTAACAGTGAAGGTTTTTCTCACGCAGTCCGTTGCTTCTTCTCCTTCCTGAAAATCTTGGCTACCTCAGCGCATAGCCGTTTCTTAATAGGCCCAACACCAGAATCACTAGATTCCCCCAAGTAGACTGCTACCTGCCGAGAAACATAACCAACAGGTTGTTTGTTTTTCGCAAATGTTGTAGCTGGTATCTTTGCTTTGGCCATTCCCGCATAAGGTTGTTGTGTTACATGGGATGCTATAGCTGGGATCTTTGTTTTGGCCATTGTTGCAACAACACAAGTCGATTTGTATCACTAGAAGTACTACTGCAATGTACAATGCTACTGGTACAATACTACTACTGGTTCCAATAGGAAAGTACCAATAGAAAAGTACCCGAAAATCATACCAAAAGAAAACACCAGCACTACTTCTACATATTGGGACAATTAGTGGTACCAATAGAAAAAACCAGTACCAATAGAAAAGTACCAAAAGAAAACACCAGTACCACTTCTACATATTGGGACAATTAGTGGTACCAATAAAAAACACCAGTACCAAAAGAAAACCATAGTACCACTTCTACATATTGGGACAATTAGTGATACCAAATCAGTGGTACTGGTACCAAAAGAAGAGTACCATAAAATCTTACCACAAACGAATCTAACTGGTACCACAACTATCTGTAGCATAGGTAAAAATCTTAATAGTACTGGTAGATCATACCAACAACAAACAAAAGCACAAGTACTACTTCTACATGTTGGGACAATTAGTAGTACCAAATTAATGGTACTTTTACATAAAAAAGTACCAGAAAATCAGATCAAAACGAATCAAACTGGTACCAGTCCCAAAACTACCTCTGCATTGGTACTATTCTTAATACTACCTGTGGATCATACCAACAACAAACAAAAACACCAAACAACAAAGACAGGCATGCATGTGGCTTACTCCAACGTTGAATCCGAAAAACAAAAACCAGAAGGGGAAAGAAAGCTCACCGCCGATTGTCTTCACGGACGCAGAAAATCAGAATGGCAGAAGGAGGTTCGCCTACGCCATTAAAAAGAAGGAGATCAAAACTAGGTTAGCAAACCAAAATTTCAAAACAAAAGATGAAGTGGGAAGGAGAGACATCATCGACGAACCGTCCAGGGAAACCAAACATCAATGGAGACCGATCGCAAATAACCATGCAAAAAGTTTTTGATCATACATGAATTACCTTACCTTTGCCCTGACCAACAAAGTATTAGCCGGACGCGAAACTACCAAGACCCGCAGCCAAAAACTATACGAGACCGTATAAGGGGAGTTTTTGTGATGTTGGGAGAAGACGGAGGAAAATAGATTTTGGGGGAGGAACGAACAAGCGGGGAGACGAAAGGTTCGGCGGGGAGGGTGGCTAATTTCTCTCCCCCACTGATTTCTTTGCTTTTTCAAAAAAAGGCAGACGTCAGCGAATTAGGGGGAGCACAATCCAGTGTGGGAGTTCTCTTATTTGACCCTGCCCATTTCGAACCGTAGGATTGAGGATTAGAAGGATGGACGACCCTTAAGGGGGAAGCGAGATTAACAACCCCCTTAGGGGTTGTCACGCTAACCAGTCCCAACGTTTGGTTAAAAAAGTAACTGCTTCCTCCATTTTCTCCTCTTTCCTTTTAGTACCCAATAAAAAAAAAACTAGAAAACGTGAGAGAGGGTGTGGTGGGAGGCTAGGAGTTGGATAGATATATTAGTTATATTTAATTTTTATGCAAATCTCAAAAACATTTAAATTAGCATCTTTTCCCTTTGGATTATAGGGTATCCAACCAAAGTTTGTGGTAGTATAGTAAAGAGGAAAAGACGGTTTTCAATCGACGTTTATAGTGAACCAAAGTTTGTGGTAGTATAGTGAAGAGGAAAAGACGGGTTTCAATCGACGTTTATAGTGAATGTTCTCGATCAATTTGTTTATTAATGTTTGTGGGTATTTACAAATCAATAGAGTACTTATTTTCTCAAATTACACTAATTTCAAATTTGTTCAATTCTAATACATTCACGTCAGCTTTATTATCATGTCATTTTATATTTATGTTTCTCTACAAATACAAAAATAACCAAACATAGAAATGCATTAGTAGGGTTTTGAACCCACAAACTCCAAATCTTACTGTATAGTTTGTTAAGGTATTAAACTATTGAGACAATTAGCCAAACTATATTTGATGATATTCGGCCATTGATCACAACATGATCAGTACTATCGTATTATCATATATACGTAATACTTTCACTCTATCAATAAAACCAACATTAGATAAAAAAAATTAGTTAAACTCGGTGAATCTAATACTAAAAAAAATATTTTTTTGATAAAAATACAAGTTTAATATAATAACAAAAAAAAGTCAAGATATTAATAATTTTTAATTGATTTGAATATAATATGAACTAATTAATAAAAACATTTACCCAGCCAATGGCCGGGAATAAAGCTAGTTTGTTTTATAATCCATTTTCCGAAGGTACTTTGTACCTGAAATAAAAAAGGCGGGAAAGTATAGTTCTGGGAACATATATTTTTAAATAAACGCGCCACTCACAACCCAGAAGCCACCGCGCGCACGAACCGACGAGCTCCTCCGGTCCTCCCCAACTGGCAGTCCAAATTCCTCTGCACGCAAACCCCACACTCTCTTCTTTCTCCAAATTAATGCAATCCAAACTAAGCTCCTTCTTCAAGCCTTCGTTTTCGTCTTCCAAAGCCGCCGCCGCTCCCGACCCACCTTCCGACGATGTCACCACTTACAGCCGCCGCAAAGCTTCCAGATTCAGTAATGGGTAACCGTTTTCCTTCTTCTTCTTCTCTTCTTCCTCGACTCGTTCTTCGATCAACCTAATCTTCTTTTCATATCGACTATCCCTTCTCGCTGCAACGGATTTTCTTCCCCCTCTACCAGGGATCAGAGAAATGAAAGCGGCAGAGGATCTGGATACGATCTTGTGGACGAGTCTGTCTCTGGTGAAGTCTTCTCAAAACCGGATTCGAGGAATCCGGGAAGTGGGAAAGTTTTGAACAAAAAGAGAAGCTATGCGCAACTCCATTTGGATTTGGGGCAATCGGATTTTAATCTCCGGAGCTGTTCCTCTTGCGGGTTTCATTACGCTGCGGGAGATGAGCAGGATGAAAAAGTGCATAAATCATTTCACAGAAACTTCACCCAAGGTATTCCCTTTAGGGTAAGAACTAAGATACCTCCATCCCTGTAAACTCCAGGTTTTCTTTTATGGGTTTGATACAGTTCGTTGTAAATTCCAGTGTTTTTCCTTTTTCTTTTATGGGTTTGATTCAGTTTGTTGAATCGGGTTTTGGTTTTAATTAGGGTTGGCAGAACGAAAGGGTAATTCCCATGGCTTTCAGTGGAGGGGACCGTATAATTTTGATCTTGAATTCTGACCCTTCACCTCATAAAACTAAGGTAATGTGATTAGGGTTCTAGAAAGGGCCGATTACCCTTGATGCTAATTTGGGCATGAGCAGCTTATCATCACTGTTTAAGAGCTTTGTCATTCATATCAGTGAAATAAAGGGAACGTTTCAAATTCCTTGGCAGGTTAAGGATGTGATAAAGATGATGGAGATTGAGCTCCACGAAGGGTGGATTTTTCATGAACTCTGCAAGGTGAAGTTACGCTTCTGGGGATTCCTGCTGCATTGTTATCCCACTTCGCATTTGATCTGGATTTCAGAATGAGATAAGTGTTATTTTCTTTGTATTCCTCTCACTGTTCTTTGCAGGTCTATCTATATGTTTCATCGAACAGAATTGCTGGTTGCCTGGTTGCTGAACCAATAAAAGAAGCATTCAAGATGATTTCTACATCCACAGATAAAAAGGCGGATTCTGGAGCTATTAGAAAGGATACAAGGTTAAACTCAGGGGGAGCTCTCAAGTTTGGAAACGTCATCTTCAAAAGGGAAGAAGCTAAAAAAAAGATTCCTTCCGTTAGTTCTCAGGAGATGATTACTGGCGCAGTTGTTTGTGAAGAGAAATCTGTTCCTGCTGCGTGCGGCATTAGAGCAATTTGGGTGACCCCCTCAAACAGAAGAAAAGGAATCGCCAGTCATTTACTCGACGCTGCTAGGTAACAGTCCTGGAAAACTTGCAACCTTTTCTTTCTTGCTCTTTTCCGATGTCCATACTTTGCTGCAGTTTGTGCTTAATGTGGCTTTCGCGCAGGAAAAGTTTCTGTAAGGACAGCATCCTTGAGCGTTCTAAGTTGGCATTCTCACCTCCAACTTCAGCTGGAAGGCCTCTGGCCTGTCGTTACTTTGGAAACAAGCCACTCTTGCTTTACAAAGCCGATCCTATTCCTACAGCAGGCGACTGAAGAAAGCAGCATTGGTCAAAGCTTCCCGATGTCATTATGCATCATTCACAAAAAAAAAAAAATCATCTGGATTGTCTTAACATTTCAGAAGTTTATGTTGTTTATTCCTTCGAAGTTGTAAACTCGGAAAGTGGCTAAGAGCAATGAATTGCTACTGGTTTCTTTCTAACCTAAACAAACCGACACTTGAAGTAAAAAACATTCATAGCAGAGTACAATTGACACTGGAGATGGCGGCACCTCCTCCAGCTCCTATTGCTTCTCTACTTTTCAATGGATGTGGCTCAGAAAGGAGTTCTTTCTTACTGTTCTGCATAACCATCTGCCTGGAGAAATGGACTAAACAGCTGCATAACTTCTCGGTAGACTGGCCTCTTGAAATCAACAGCCTGTTTTGATAAAACGAGATGATCATACTGACACTCTCAATGCTGTGCGCTGTGTACAAGCAGTAATTCACAACAGCAGCCTCAATGTAGAAGATTTTGTAATGCTGAAGACAATAAGGATCAAGTTAACTCACAACTTCTATGACTCGCTCTGGTGGCATCCATGTCCACTGCTGGAATTCTGGCTCGGCAGATCCATTTCCCAAAAGGTTAATCTCTTCGTCCTTTCCAGTAAACTTGAAGAGAAACCTGCAGTGTTCCCCGAAACAAAGTTTATAATAGGAGCAGTGTAACAGAAAGACTTGATTCATTATTGTCCAATAGAAGAGACCAATCAGACTTTTCAAGCAGACTGGGATTCCAATATCCATGAAGAGGTCACATCTAATTGAGATGATAATACTCACCACTTTTGAGTCTGACCTTTATAGTTTGTACCCCATTTCCGATTAAGCCTGTTTCTAACTGAAAGTGGGTAATCATAAGTAAGCCAGTGGGGTGCCTGAAATAGAAGTAGTTTCAAAATTAGGTTGATACTGTTATACACCTTCAATTGAAGCCACCAGTCAAATGTAAACTAGAAAGAAACATGGACATCAAGTACCTCAGCAAGAAACTCCGCTGAAACTACTCCTGTTTCCTCCCTCAACTCTCTCATGGCCGCATTTCGGAGTTCTTCTCCCTCATCAACCCCGCCCTGTAACAGATGCCATTTTGTCAAACAATAGTATGATCTCAGAGTTTCAACTTTATTTTGCTCAAGATCCCACATAATCCATCCATCACTTCCAAGCATAGAAATTTCAGTAAACCCAGATAAATAGCCATCACCTGAAATTCAACTGAATGATGCTATTGCCAATATAAGATATGAATGTACCTGAGGCATCTGCCAAGCATCCTGGATGTTGATCCTCGATGCTGTGAAAACCTAAATCGAAATCCAGTCGACGAATGGAAAACTACCATTACTAAACTGAAAATAATGGGTACAAACACACCCCTAAGGAGATATCTTTAGAGGTAATGAAATCTAATTCGAACCATTTTAGAAGTAGGATTAATGAGACAAATCCCCACGTTTTTCCGATACCCATGAGGTGGGCTTTCCATGGATAATCCAGTCGCTGCCGAGGCTGCTGTGAGCAAATGTGGGAGAAGAAAATGTAGGCAAAGTGATGAACAGAAGCAATCTATCTATGTATCTTCTGAGAAAGAGTTGCAGAGCACAATCATATTTATATTTAGGACTACCCGCATTGATGAGAGAGTGCTTTAAATGGGCAAAGGATAAGGAGAATGGAAACGTCAGTGTTTCAAGAGAAGAAGAAAGGTCAGTTGTAGGATGCTTTGGGTAATGCAGTATTCATCAATTCATAAAACTCCATGTTCCCAAGAAGAAAGGTCCCTCATCAGAATGATTGTTTTTAGTTATAAAAAAAAGGTTACATTTTAGGAAGTTGTCTTTTTTTTTTATCCTCTGAAAGTTCCCAACTCGAGAAGCGGACTAGAAGAATGAATTGCTACTGGTTTCTTTCTATTAGATTCTCTCTAAACATCCATGTTCAGTGGATGACAACATTCACAGCCGGGTGCAACAAATGCTGGAGATGACGGCACCTCCTCCCACTCCTAAATCTTCTCTAGTTTTTACTTCAGATGCCTCCGTATGGAGTCTGGAATTAGTCTCATCTTGCAGTTCTGCATCAGTATAATCTTCCTGGAGGAATGGACTAAACAACTCCATAACTTCCTGATACACTGGCTTCTTGAAATCCACAGCCTGTTTAAAAAAAAAAAAAAAAAAAAAAACGAGACAAGTACATAAATAAATTATAAATTGATGAAAGTTGCTCTATTTTCTGTGTATAAGCACTAATTCATAACGGCAGCCAATAGGGAGAAGCTTTCTTGATAATGATGATGATGCGGGTTAAGTTAACTCACAAGTTCAACGACTCGCTCTGGTGGCATCCATGTCCAGTGCTTGAATTCTGGCTTTTCAGATCCATCACCCAAAAGGTTAATCTCTTCCTCCTTTCCAGTAAACTTGAAAAGAAACCTGTTTTCCCCATACAACAAAAAGTTCATTATGAGAAGTAAAGAGTTGCTAACGGAAATAACATATTCATCACTGCCAAATAGAGAAGACCAATCACACCGCGTCATCGACCAAGACTGGCATTCCTATTAACCCCAACTTTCATTTCAATAGGAGATGAATACTGAAAATTTTCTGTTCTGAGCGTGAGCGCGAGAAAGATATCATGAAAACAGTAAACAATTTCTGGTGCCAATCAAGGTCAAGTGCAAACCGGAAGGTCTGTATCAGCAAGTACTCTATGTCCAACAGAGCCAGAACGAAGCAAAGTGACCATTCTAGTGTTAAGTGTAGCAATTGTATGGATACCATTGCCATTACATCATCGAAAGCTAATAGTTCTTTTGTGTTAAAACTGTAAAACTCACCACTTTTGAGCTTGACCCTTATAGTTTGTGCCCCATCTCCGATTAAGCCTGTCTCTAATTGGAAGTGGGAAATTATAAATCAGCCAGTAGGGTGCCTGCAACAAAATCCATAGGATCTTCACGAAAACCCACAGCAGCCAGCCATACATGATACAACAAAAAGTCATATGTAAAACCACAAAGAAACATTGCCATCTAACCTCAGCAAGAAACTCAGTTGAAGTAACTCCTGTTTCCTCCCTCAACTCTCTCATCGCCGCACTCCGGAGATCTTCTCCCGCCTCAGGACCTCCCTGACAGACGCCATTGTTGAGCAACAGCACCATACAGAGTTTATTATTAGACTTGAGAAATTCAAACACTTTTACATCCACTGTTAATTCCAAATAGTCCTAACAAACCAATTTGGGTTGATTGAAAATCCCACAAAATAGAAAAAGCGGTAGCGCGGACCAAATGCCATGACCTAAACTTCAACTGGATATTATTATTACCCAGTTAGGAAGAAGAATTTACCTGAGGCATTTGCCAAGAATCCGGAATGTTTATCCTCGACGCCACGAAAACCTAAATCCAAATGAGGAATGGAAACCAACCACCATTACTAAACTGAAAGAGAAAAGGTAACAACGAAGACCCCCTAAAAAGGAAACATCATTTCAAGGCATTTGAGTCGAATTCGAACCATTTTAGAAGTGGGATTGAGGAGACAAATCCCAACGTTTTTCCGATACCCACGAGGCGGGCTTTCCATGGACAATGCGGTCGCCGCACCATCTGCTTTCTCCACAGATATCGAAACCGAGGCAGAGAAGCCATGTCTGGAGCTGGAAGACGAAGACGAAGGCTTGCTGCTGCTCTTCTTGCAGATAAGCAGTGGCACCCTGTAGAATTTGACCGGTTTCCAAGGGCAGTCTCGTCCCTCGCCGACGAGATAGACCTGGGAGCTTCTCAGAACTTCACACGACCTCATCCCGGGTCGTTTCGCTTCCTTGGCCCCCAAGCCTGGCGTCACCCGCGGTTATATACTCCGTCTCTCTGAAATCTAAATACTCCGCTCCCAGCAAACTTTCTCTCTAACGCCGTTAACATTTTCCCACTTTATCCCGAAAATGACCTCACCGCCTTCCCCTTTCTTTCACCACTGTCCAGAGTTAGTTTCAAAACCCGCCATGGATATATATAAACCTCGTTTCTCGGGTTTCCGCTCCTGGAGAGCTTTTAGCCCAAGTTAGCGAATTCCCGAATCCCCACACCCATCCTTGCTGGTGTTTCCCCCTTCAATTTAAGAAGAAAATGCTAGATTTCGCTATGGCGGACGAGGAAGAAGCGATCACGGCGGCGGCGCTGGTGTCGGAGCTTTCATTCCCGGTGGTTCTCTTCGACGGGGAGCAGGAGATCAACGTCGGCCGGGTGGTCCTCCTCCCTTCCATGAATTTTAAGGCCTTCCAATCGATCATCAGCGACAGAATCGGCCTCTCGCCCAACCAATTCTCCGTCCACGTGGCCGACAGGCACCGTCGCGGGTTCCAAATTCCGGTCACCGGGAAGACGAACTTCTCCGCGATCACGCGGAACAAGGGGTATTTCTTCCTGGTGCTCCTGAAGCGATCCAGGCGCGAGCGGAGGCGGAGGAGCCCTGCGGCGGCGGCGGTACGGAAAACAGCGGAGAGCCAACACCGGTTCGATCCGCCGCCGGGGAACGTGATGCTACTGAGGCGAGGCGGCGGCGGGTACGGGTTTGCTTCGGAGCTGGAGTTGGGCCTGGCCGGGTACGAGAGGCGGGTGAGGGAGCTGCAGGTGGAGAAGGAGAGGTACTTGATGAACATGGGATTTGTCTCCTCCGGTCAGGGCCTGGAATCGCTGAGCTTGGATTCCGGGGAGAGATCGCCGGAGAGCGAAGGCGTGGTGTGCGGAGAGTGTTCGAGAGGTGGTGAGCCGGAGTTCCACTGGTGTGTACATGATCCGGTTACGGTCGGGTTCAGGTCACCGGCGGGTCCAATCGCCCGACCGTCTAGAGAGTCCGGAGGAGCTGGGATAGGGTGCGGGATGGTGTAGGGTAAGACTAAGATAGACCTTTTTCTAATTTTAATTAATTGGGTTTTCTTTTTTTAACGATAAAAAAAGGAGAAAAAGAAACCCTGGTACTACTGGTACAACAGAAGCTGCCCAATCGGAGGAAGGAGGACTTAGTTTGTAGGTTATGATAAGTTTGGGGGCAAATGGAGAGATTGATTTAAATTAGGGGGTGGGTATTTGCTGGAAGAATAGTGGGGGTGGGGAAGGAAATTATTGAGTAGTTGTAATTTGTAGGGTGCTGTTTTGGTTATACGGATAAGGATCGGGTGGTGTTTGGGAAGGCGTGAAAGAATAGGGGTTTTCCATTTTTAACAAATTTATTACTTTTTGCTTTTCTGTTGAGATTGAGCTGGGAAGGGAAATGAGACAGACAGAGGCACTGCAGGCAGGCAGCTGGTGCAGAAAAAGTTCGTTTGCTTTTTCGTTTGTTTTGTGCTTACCAGATATGTAATTAACCATTTATGGTGGATCAGTGCAGTAAGTTTGGAAATGGAGTAATGGAAACTTACTATTCAGTACTCTTTTTATGTCGTGTTCTTGCTTCCCACAATAGCCCCAATTTTGTTAGTTTTTTTTAAAACTTTATAGTAATTTTAATTTTATGATGAAAGTGATCAGTAATATTCACTTATTTCTAAACTGTCTTTGATTTCAATGATTCGAATCATAGAAAGAAGAACGTACCTTCAAATGAAAGTCTATTTATAGTGATTTGAAAATTGTACATATTCGATATCATTGTTTAACAAATGATAGTTAATATTATAGGTAATTGGAACTGTTCGGTTTTAAAAAAGAAGTATTATAGCCTAGTCTTAGGGTTCAAATTTAAGGAGGATGTACTTCAATTTGATGAATCCTTATTTTGTGACATTGAGATTTAAGATCTATGTTGTTTGATAGATTTAATGGAGATCTACATTTCATAATTCCTTATGTAGAAAATTTTGTCGATACAAAATGATATGACGAAGCATGATGTTACTTCTTCTTGAAAATACTACTTTTAAATTTTGTCAACAAGATTCTCTAGTCTCTACACAGTCGGCCCTCAGTGAGGTGAGTCACGACCTTACTCTTGGTCAAGTGGCCCTAGCTCTAAATCCCGTTAGAGATGCTAGGCAGCCTTCTCTCAAACTCACGTGCTCACAAAAAAAGCAAGAAAGACAAAGGAAGATGTGAGAACTCTCTAGTGTGTATTACTCTAAAAAATGTGGAATGAGTACAAATGAAGGAGATGACTCCTTATATAGGCATTCCACATACAAGGCATCAATGCCACCTCATAATGGTCCCTCCCCATTACTACACCCTTTAAGCCCCCCCCCCCCCTCCCAATAATGCACTCCCTTATTCCCTTAATACCACCCATAATGTGGCTCATGAATGCACACTAAAGCTCATAAAGGTTGCGAGAATCCTAGAGGCATCTCTATGCTCCTAGTCTTCCATACACGTCACATGTGAAGCCGCCATGCTGTCTCCTTACTGGCGTCATGTCATCTTCCACATGTGACATCCTCCCTCACCTATGCTCTAGAACGCCCTCATCGTGTCCTCTTGATGGAAAGCCTCGATCAAATCTTTATTCATCCAAAGCGTCGTTCTCCCAACTCGTCTCGCTCTTCGGAAGGTTGCGCCACCTGACCAAGTACTCCACATAGCTTGGATGAACGCCTCGACGAGGAATGACACAACGCGCCATGATCTCTTCAACTTCATTGTCGTGTGTCTTGGTGATGAGTGTTGGTGCGCAATGTGACTTTGTCTGTTGCTCGTCCTCCTTGTATTCGTTGGAAGTCTTGAGTTGGCTCACATGAAAGACCGGATGGATCTCCAAAAGCGACAACACTTCCATCTTGTATGCCACCTTGCCAATCCTCTTCACAACGGGGAATGGCCCTTCATAGCAGCGAAAAAGTCCCTTATGCACGTTCTTGAGATGCTTGAAGCGATGAGGTAGAACTTCACCATCACAATGTCTCATTCTTCAAACTCAAAGTGTCGCCTCTTATTGTCCGCCTACTTCTTCATCTTCTTACTAGCGCGAGCTAGGTAAGACTTGGCCATCTCCATCTTCTCGTGCCAGTCTTTTGCGAACTTGTAGTTTGTTGGACTATTGCCTCTATAACCCGTTGCCATTGTGATAGGTGTCAATGGTTGGTGCCCCATCGCCAACTCGAATGGACTCGTGTTGGTCAACTCGATGTGGTGCAAGTTATAGGAAATCTGAGTCGTATCAACTTTGCCCAATCTTGCTGGTTAGTACTCACATAGTGCCTCAAGTACACCTCCTAGAAAAGGCGTTCACCCGCTCCGTCTGTCTATCGCTTTGCGGATGAAAGCTCATCGAGAAGATCAACTCAGAGCGCATGATCTATAACAACTCCCGACAAAATTGGATCGTGAAGCGCCCATCTCTATCGCTCATGATGTTGGTAGGAATGCCCCAACACTTGACCACATTCTTGAAGAATAGTCGTGTCGCATTATCTGCCGTCATGTCTTTTGGCCTAGGGATGAACACTCTACACTTCGAGAACCTGTCCATCACAACCATTATGCAACCACATCCGCCGACTTTAGAAAGTCTGATGATGAAGTCCATGCTTACGCTCTCTCATGGTCATTGAGGCGTGGGCAATGGCTCTAGCAAGCCTACTGGGCTTCTCTGCTCCATCTTGTCTTGTAAAACAAGACAAGTCTTCACATACATCTCCACATCGTCTCTCATACGCGGCTAGAAGTATGTTTCTATCAATGAGGGCTTGCGTTCTCTCGATGCCTGGATGTCTTGTCCACTTGGAATCATTGCACTCCTTCATGATCTCCTTTCTCAAGGTGGCCCATCTTAGCATGAACACACGATCTCCCTTGGTCATGATGAGCCCATCCTTCATCCAAAACTGTCGAGTCTTACCTTGCTAGATGTACTCCGCCACGGTTTTAGCGAAGGGGTCATGGCCAAGGCCTTCGACGATCCGCTCCTTCAAAGGAAACACGAGCTGGTTGATGCTTGTGACTTCACACTTGCGGCTAAGAGCATCAACAGCGGAGTTCACCTTCCATGCATTGTACTCCATCACAAAGTCGAACTCGGCCAGAAAATCTTGCCACCTCACTTGCTTGGGGGTGAGCTTCTTCTTTGCGAGAAAGTAGTTCGTCGCCACGTTGTCCGTCTTCACTACAAACTTTGACCCCAACAAGTAGTTTCTCCATGCGTATAAGCAATGCATCACTGCTGTCATCTCCTTCTCTTGGATCGTGTATCATCGCTCTGTCTCGTTGAGCTTCCGAATCCGAAGGCTATGGGATGCCCATCATGCATCAAAACACCGCCAATAACAAAGTGGATGTATCGGTCTACACATCGTAGGACAATGTCAGATTGGGGAGTATTAGCATGGGCTCTTTCATCACTGCTTCCTTCAAGGCCTCAAATGCTTTTTAGCACCGTTCCGACCAATCTCAAGCCTTGTTCTTCCTCAAAAGATCCGGTAAGGGTGCTGCAATGTTGGAGTAGGCCTTGATAAATCGTCGATAGTAGTTAGCAAGGCCGAGGAATGACTGCAACTCTGGCACCTTCGTAGGCAGCTCTCATTCTTGGATTTCCTCCACCTTCTCCCCATCCATCTTCAACTTGCCTCCACCTATGATGTGTCCCAAGAATGGAACCTCTGTGGCGGCAAAAGTGCATACCTCTCAATTTGTGAAGAATGAAATAAAAGAGTTTTTTGAAACACAAGGATTACTTCATTCCAAATTTCTCCCTCTTTACATACAACTCGTTGTCGCAAAAAACTTGGAAAACTTGGCATAGGTGTTTGGCATGCTCATCAAGTGTTTCGCTATGCAATGCGATGTCATCCAAGTACACTACGATGAATCGATCTAAGAATGGCTCGAACACTTGATTCATCAAAGTGCAAAACATGGCTGGTGTGTTGGTAAGACCGAATGACATCACAAGAACTTCGTAAGAGCCATACCTCGTCACACAAGACGTCTTTGGCTCATCGCCCTCTGCTATCCTCACTTGATAGTAGCCCGAGCAAAGATTAAGCTTGGTGAACCATCTCACAACTCTAATCTGGATGAACAAGTCCGCAATGTTGGAAATCGACCACTTATTATTTACCATAAACTTGTTGATGACTTTATAGTCGATGCACATGCGCAATGACCCTTCCTTCCTCTTCTAGAACAACACCAGTGCTCCATAAGGTGACTTCGATGGCCGCATGTAGCCTGCATCCAACAAGTCTTTGAGCTACCTCCACAACTCTTCCAACTCTGGTGGGCCATGCGGTATGGTGCTCTAGAAGGGTATTCGCTTCTGGCTCCAACTCGATCTTGTGGTCCACCTCTCTTCTTGGTGGCAGCTTCTTGGGCAACTCCTTTGACATCACATCATCGAAGTCCTCGAGAATTCCTTCGATGATGGGAGTCATGGTTCTCATTGAGCCTCCTTCTTCCTCTATCTTCAAGGACACAAAAAAATATTGGATCCTTCTTTTTGAACCCCTTCATAACCTGCATGGAAGACAAAGCACTATGGGGTCCATCCTCCCTCAAAAGATGGACCGCATGGAACTTCTCTTCCTTCTTCAAGCACATTGTGTTGGAGATGGGCTTCAAGAGTACTCCCTCATTGTCGAGGAAGTTGATGCTAAGGATGACTGGGTGATCATCCATGGTGATGACGAAGAAGTCAATAATGTCCTCCCATTCGCCAAGCTTTGCTGACATTTTGTGATCAATTCCATGGATTGGGATGAACTTCGAATTGATCATCTTGATCCACCATTTCCCCTTCTCATAGGTAATACCCAGCCGGTTTGCCTCCTCGATGCAAAGGAAGTTGTCTGTGGCGCCGGTATCCACCAAGGCCTTTGACTCCCCTTGCATGAATTGGGTCGTAACGTAGCACCTCCCACGCTTGATCTCCTTGTTGTTGGTCCTCACCGCGCCAAGCTTGTGGATTGAGCCGATTTTGGTCTCCACTACCTTGGGCTCTTAATCTGGAGCCTCCATGGACGCCAATCTCGCCTTCCTTGGCCAATCTCGCACTCGATGTGGTCCATCACAAAGGAAACAAGTAATGGGTTTTGGTTCGTACTTACCCCCTTTGCTTGGGCCACCGTGTTGTTGAGTGTGAGTGCCTTACTTGAAAGGTTGACGTGGTTCTCCGCCCTTCAGCTTTGAACTCTTTTCCTTGCTTCTCTCTTGCATTTTGTACTCGACAAAAGACTACCATGGCCATGGCAGTCGTAAGGTCTTGAAATCCTCGACATTGCATCTCCATCTTGGCCCACGGTTGCAGTCCATCAAGAAAGCCGTGCATGGCCTCCTTGTCCGTGATGTCTGAGATTTCAAGAAACAGCTCCGAGAATTCCTTTACATATTCTCGAAATTCACCCCTCTGGGTGAGCCTCCCCAACCTCGAACGTTTTTTCGAACTCCACATTCTCTGGATAGAACTGTATCTTGATTTCTCTCTTAAAATCGTCCCATGTTGCCATCACACAATACCCTTCTCGACGTCTGCTTCACATCGCCTCCACCAAACCATAGCAATATCGACCAAGTAAAGTGGAGTGGTATGAAGTTTTACCTCATCCTCTTGGATGGCGGATGCTTTGAAGTACTACTCAATACTCCAAAGGAAGTTCCTCAAGACTCCAAAGGAAGTTCTCTAACTCCCTCGTGTTCCTTGAACCTCCGAAGTTCTTCTATCTTGGAACGTTAGCTCTCAGGATGGATTGCGCCGAGGTTGGTCTGCTAGCCATGACTCACTTCACGAGAGTGACCTCGCTCTTGAGGTCTGCAATCTCTTCCTTCAAGACAGTCAACTCAACCAGAACAGTCTCTTTCACCACTTCAATCGTGTTGTTCATGGAGTTAGAGAGGGTGTTGTTGATGAGGGCCACAATCTCTTCTCACAACCCATCATTGCCGACTTCCTAGCTCAACAGTCGACCAGTAACTCCTTGAACATCACCTTGGAATTGGTTGCAGTGAACTCACAAATCCTTAATTGCGGTGACATCTTCGGCCACCTTCACTTCCACTCTAGAGACACGCTTCTCTAGAGCCACGATAGGATCACGAGTGCTCGACGTGCCCTTTGGCCAAGTTCTCTTGTTGGGATCTCTTCCACGTTGCTTGTTGTCTCCAATATCACTCACTACAACTTCTGACCCTGACATTTTTGGTGAGGCTCTTCCTCTTCATTTGGATTTGCTTCTTCTTTGCTAGCACCAAGCCAAACCAGACTCTGATACCACTTGTCATGGCCTTACTCTTGGTCATGCGACTCTAGCTCTCAATTCTATTAGAGATGCTAGACAGCCTTCTCTGAAACTCACGTGCTCACAAAGAAAGCAAGAAAGACAAAGGATGATGGGAGAACTCTCTAGTGTGTATTACTCTAAAAAATGTGGAATGAGTACAAATGAGAGAGATGACTCCTTATATAGGCATCTCCACATACAAGACATCAATGTCCCTCATAATGATCCCTCTCCATAATGCACTCTCTTAATACCACCCATAATGTGGCTCATAAGTGCAAAGCTCATAAAGGTTGGGAGAATTCTAAAGGACTCTCTATAATCCTAGTCTTCCATACACACCACATGTGCAGCTGCCATGTTTTTACATTGATGGCGCCATATCATCTGCCACATGTGACAGATGCTTAAAAAAAATTAAATTATTGTTTAGCACAACCTTTTCTAGCGACAAACTTTCTCGTCAGAATCCAACCACAAAAGCCATCATTCGTCCCATTATTGTAAAATCATAGAATGTATTGAGCAAGAACTCTAGCAAACGGGATATGGCGCCCAACACGGTTCCCAACACATTTTTGCTAAACATCGGTTTGACCTTTTTGTTTTGTTTTCCCAACAACAAAATTTTTTCCAAGAAACTTGTTAAAGAAATTACACTTATTTGGGGAAATCCACAAAACCAATTTCCATGTATTCTGGATATATAAATTACAACGGGTTTTTTTTTACAAACAACACATATATTCACACAATATTGCA